GCTTGATTTCAAGGCCATGCGGGGGGGGGAGGGGGGATGGCGCGTTGGATTTCTTCGGTTGGGCCCTTTGTCGGAGTGATGTATATTATGAGGGGGCCCGCATGGTGGCCTCCCTCCCGATCGCGATAACAGCTGCTGTGGAGCTGTACAATCGAATGGTGCCGCGTGAAATACGAGGGGGGCGAAGTGGACCGAACGCGTGGTTCGGGGCCTCCCAGTCGGAGCTCGCAGGACCGCTTCCCGCCGCCATCCTCTTCCCCATCCCCTTTCCCCTATCCAACCTACTTTGTGCATTAAAACGGCAGCCGACTCTTGGCTTTGCCTCTTCATTCAGAGTATCAGAACGCGGACGCCATCCCAAAGGTTATTGGCTCCGTCATCAACATTGAACTCGACCACATTTCCACTATTTTACTGAAAAAAAGAATTATATAGGAGGATGCCTCTATGGTGTCTTCTAGGCGATTTTCACTTAGTATAGCTTAGGTATTTTCTTTTTTCATATGTATCTGTGATATATACTTTATAAGATTCGGCAAGTACTTTTCGCATTCCATCCTTCTTGTTACGAATTCAGATTTATACTACGATTGTTCTCAATGTCTCCATGCGGTGTGCTAAAGGTCCTTGCTAAGGCGAGTCCTTATATTTTCAGCTTCGATCAATATGTTTTCCTAGATTCAACTCCATATTTATTTATCGGGTTCCCTTAGCTTTTGTGTGCGTGTGTTTGCTTTCTTAACTTATGCTGATTTCAATGGTTCCACATCGTTTTACTAGTGTTTCATAGTAATCCAATCGCGGCTAAGCGATTTTAGTGGGCTTACCATATATAGAAAGAAACGTAAAGCCTATCAGTGGGGTTGCTGAGAAAAAATTTTCAATTAAGTTGCCTAGGTTCTTAAGATTCTCTTTTACTTCCATGTTGCTTTGTCAGATAAAACTAAATTTATTCCCAATCGCACGCGCGGAACGTAAATGCCACCCTGGATATCATGCATGCTTCATTTCATTATTTCATCAAGGACTAATAAATTGAATACCCCGTTTGGTAATTTCTAATGTTGCTATTTCTTTTGCCTCTCTGAAGGATTTCTAGAATTAGGTTCCAATGAAATTCCCGTTTTACTCCTCACATCGAGTTATTGATGGATCGAAATCGATCAGAGTCGACGAATACAGCTCAAAGTGCATCTTATTGCGACCTGCGGCGCGGCAAACCCCTTTTCTCCGATCGTTCTGAGCACATTTTCGACGCGTCCGGTGGCTGGCTTCCTGATGAGAGGCCACTCCGCCGTTGGGTGAGGACCCAATTACGATGCGGATTCCCTCTGGTGTGGGTTCCTATGGGGGCCTAGTCATCCATCGATCTTTATATCTCCAATATTAATCTACCAACCACAACTCCTTCACTTCTCATGAGCTTTGATGTCGGGTTGTGGAGGAGCATAAACGGCCTAGCACCGTGTTTGGGCGCATGTGGGATAGTTGTTTGGTACGGGTTAGGTTGTGGTTTCGCCTGAATGCGGCAGAGCTTGCGGGATCGGATAAGAAGGATATCAAGAGGAATATATCATCAGGGTTGTATACATTTTTCTTTTTGTTTTCCCCTAATTTGTGTGCGCATGCACGTCTGAAAAAAAATATACTTCTTCGTATTCCACAGAAAATTTTATATATATAGACGAAACGCAAATCGAAAAGTACTACCACATTAGGCACAATTCCTAGAAACATATCTGAGAGTTTTGGCAGGAAGATCAACTAAACGCTTAGATGCTCGTACCTCGGACTCACAGCCACCACGCCTATGGCAAGGCCAAAGAAACCACTTGCGTCGATTCCATTGAAGAAAAAGTGCGGTCTGCATACGAATCGCAAGCATCGGGCATCATCATCCAGCACGAGCACAATCTTCTAGAGCTTCCACCTTGTATAAAAATGCTAAGAAGTCAACTTGAGCTACTTATTATAGATAATAACTACAATTTAAGACATCTTCCCGGTTTTATTGGGGATTTCTTGCGTTTACGAGTTCTAGATGCGAGTTATTGCAGCATCCAACACGTTGATCCACGTTTAGGTTTCTTGTGTAGACTCGAGCAGCTCAACCTATCCAATAACAAGCTTGAGTATTTGTCCATTGAGGCGTCACGACTCAAATCGTTGAGAAAGTTAAATGTCGAAAATAACAACATGAAAGTATTGCCAGGGGGACTACTTTTTTTGAAGCATCTGGAGGAGTTGACGTTGGAGAATAATCCTTTTTACGATCCGGTAGAAATCGAAGGTGCGGCTGACGTGACGCTTGCCCCTAGTTTATCGATTGTTGAGTGCATGAACTGCAGCATCCCAACGCGAAACTACCGCACTTTCATCTCCTTTCATCGCCTTTGTCAGCATGTGGAGTTGCCCTTTGTCTTTTATTTGTGCTCCGATGCCTGCCAAACGCAGATGCGCGATCGGCTGGATCGCTATAACGTGGCGCAACGCGCACGGCGTGAGAAGCAATAGACCGATTAAAAAAAAAATGGGAAGACATGGGCCCATTTCCCTTTGCTTTATGTATGTTAGAAACCACAAGCTAGAATGTGTATATGTACTGTGAAACGAGCGGGTGGGGGCTTGAACACTCCTCGATTTTTCACCGCAGGTTTGATTTGTATTAATGAAATTAGACTGCTATACAAACTACTACATTATTTTATTGATCAGCTGATCCTTTTTATTTCTATGTATAGTATGCCTAATTTTATTATCATTCTGTTCCATGATCATTTAATTTAGTGAGCAAATAAAATCAATATAAGCCAGAGACTTTCTGAAGATCAGTTTCTCTTTGTTAAATGAATGTTGATAAGTAGTTAACATTAGTCTCAAATGGCTGTGAATAATACCTTCACATTTTTTTATTAATATTGGGTCCCTGAATTGTGAAAGGACACCTTTGCATTACAAAAGGTGTACAGAAGAGGCCTAACACGAGGGCAACAAACTAAAATCTGAAGTTCACATTACTTCAATAGTAATTAATAATAATAATAAAAAAGAAAGCTCTTTGGGAAGTACATTATGAGACTCAACTTCTAATTATTGATTTTTTTTTCTCCCTAATTCTGCTCCTAGACAAAGGAAAGGGATCTCGATCCTCATTTTTTTTTCTACTGGGTGAGAATGCTCAAAAAATGGAGCCAATTTTAGCAGAAGCCTAGATGCCAACACCATTGCGGCGCTGGGTATTTCATCCTTCCAAACGACTGATTTCTTTGACCTTTTGTGTTATTATTTTCTATCTCTCGAGCGTTAGGGTCTCTTTAATGATGGTTTTCTTCATCGTGTTGGTATTGGCGTGTCCTCCACGTCTACTTTGCAAACAAAACTCCCCCAAACAACATAAATTCGCAGCTCCTGGCTGACAAGGGTGGGTTGGACCGGCTCGGGATTGCCACCAAATCGTCTTTTCAAGATTTGGGGTGGGAAAAAATGAGCCCCCGTCGAGGCCTTTTTAACCTGGAAAGGAAGGAGAGGGTCGGCTCACTTAACACCGGGTTCTCGACGCCACCATGAATAAAACCCAAGTCCCTTTCCTTTTTATTTTTTATTTTTATTTTTCCCATGAAAAGACGCGGCAGGAGCAATGGACGAGCCCCCATCGGCATCCAAATGTCCCCAGAGGACTTTACAGGAGGTGAAACCCACCGCCGAGGGCGAATAATTAATACCCTTCACAACAATGGCTGCCGACTTAACGCCCTCCGGCAGCGGCCTCACGAAGTGGGGGAATTTTTGCCTTTTTTTTTTGATTTTGCCGAGGTTTTGAGGCTTTGATACCGCCGCGGGAGTTCAACCGCATTTCTTGTAAAAAGTGCGGTCCGCAATAATATTTTTTCCGCACCGAGGGCCACAATACCCGACAGTCGGGGGGTCCGACGCCGACGATGGGGTTCTCCACCACGCAGGGATTTGTCCACCGAAGGTTAAAAAATAGGGGTATTAATGCAAGATCCCGTGGCCACCGCAGCGCGTTATGATATTTATTCAGTGTTATTGCTATAATTATTTGATAAACATAGCGAGCCGTTCGTAGAGCAGCGTTTTGAAGCTGTTCTTGAATCGACCGCTCCCCAGCCATCCTCGATTTTGGAATTGCCTCGGGGGCTGGTGGGGATGTGAATCGCACCCTTCGAGTGGGTTTTGTTCGAGGGCGTGAGGACCAGCCGACGCGATGAGGTCTGAATTTGGCCTCGGCATCATAGCCACCTCCGCAAACGTTATGGCACCCTCGGTGGGGGATGAAGGGCCACCTGGGATGGATTGCGTTGTGAAGATGTCCTCCCAACATCAGGATGAGTTGGGTGGCGTTTAATGGAGTCTAAAAAGCGATTCCAACACCGCTTGGTGTGTTTATTGCCCCCAGGTCCATATGCGACTTACGATTCCATATGGGGATTATCGCATTATAAAAAATACGCGCCATTACTCCTCTTTTCCCACCTCTAATACGCACTCACTTCGCTTATTCACATTTTGCGCATTCACTTCTATTCATGTTATCCGTGTGTGAACATACGACTATATATATATATATATGTGTGTGTGTTTTAAATGACTTATTTCTTCACTGCTGTCTCAACGGTTCATTTTCCTGTGTGTTCGCCATTACCATTGTCACACGACGTAACCACCGGTTCCACCCCCACTCCACCTCCCCGGCTTCTCCTCTCACAGGACAAGGCGGGTTTTCCCTATTGGGTGGCTTGACGTTGTAACAGCCCCCCCCCTCTCTGTCTCTCTTCTCTTAACTGTACTTTTTCCCTATCATTCTGTTACACAGACCCACACACCCACACACAAGGGGAAAGGCCTTGAGGACGGTTGTCACACTAGAAAAAGGTCGAATTGGATGCCGGCGAAGAAGAAGGAGGCCAAACCCGAGGAGCCCGCCTTCACCGATGGGGTAGGGACGCTGATCCACGAAAGCGAGGGCGCGCGGTACACAGGGGGCGTGCGGCGCTACCCCGCCAACCCCGGCGCGGACGGCGTCCGGCCCTCCACCCACGCCGTTTTCAGCACCCACAGCAAAAACAGCACCCACTCCGCCCTTTCTTCCGGCGCGGAGGTTAGCCATTTGGGTGGTCCTGGACAGGGGGGTCGGGGGGTGCGGCATGGCCAGGGCATCTATGCAAGTCCGCAGATCCGCTATGAGGGGGATTGGGTGGACGATAAGATGGAGGGACAGGGGCACTTGTTTTTCTTGCAGTCGGGAAGCTCCTACGAGGGCGGTTTTCGCGACGGCTGCTTCGACGGTAAGGGAATTTACTGTTGGGCGGACGGTAGCCGGTATGATGGGGAATGGCGACACAATCGCATGCACGGCAGCGGTGTTTACATCGACGAGGATGGGCAGGTATTCAAAGGCGTCTTTTACAGCGGAACAGGCCCAGGACTAAAACGTATCTATACAAAGACCCCCCAAACCGCATCGGATCCCTCTGCATGTGCTTGTAAATAAATTATTCTTTAGAACCTTGTTGTTGGATAGTAATGTAAAATAGTTTTTTTTTTTGAGTGTTAATACAAAGTGTTAGAACATTATATAAAAAGGTGGCATACTACTATTTAAAGGCTATATGCCCCAAGTGGTAAATGGCGATACTCTGTGCGTCTCTACGTGTATGGATTGAACTTATAGAAAGGTTAAATATTCGTAAAATTTGTATGTATTTTTTTCTGTACCTTTGGAAAAATGTTAATTTCACAGTATTCTTATTTACCTTTTAGCGCTTTCTTTAAGCATTTTTTATATCTTCAAGGTTTTTTTTGTCGTTGTGTTTGCGTGTGGGTTAAATAACCTGTCTAAACAAGCGGAGTAAAACCCTTGACGTAGCGGAAGTGTTTTCTATCCTTGAATTGGAAATTTTTTTTGAAAAAAAAGAGAAAAATTTAGAGTTAGTCTTTGAAGTAGTACGATAATAACCAAAAAAATTTTTAGCCAATTATTTATTATTTCAATAGTAATATATATATATATATCTATATATATATATATATATATAC